TTAAAAAAAAAGGTCAATTCAAAGTTCTCAAACTTTCCATTTAGTCTTCTTCTACAGAAAATATTTCATTAAAAAAATCTCTAAACAAAATATTTTATTTCAAAATGAGCTTCCCTCATTCCAAATACTCATCCAAATCTCTCTTTTTTTTTTTTTTTTAACAGTTCAGATTGAAAGGATCTTGCATTCATATTTCTTTCAGCTTGGTCACTGAGAACGAGAATCTTGTTTTTTCATGTGGCTTTGCTTCAAGCATGTGCTGCTTCACAGGCTGCTTCAGAAGGCAGCCAAGAAGAGATGGCTGGGTTATTCTGTAACTGAAATGCACAGAAAATGCAATCCTTGCTGAGTTTAGTATTATTTACAGTTTCCTTAAGAGGGACCAGCATYATTTACGTCATATCAGATAGCTTACAAGATTTTTATACAAAGGAATTACCTCTGGCAATGTTTTCCAGAGATTTCATTTATTGCAAAAAGACCAAACATGATGTAATTCCTGTGCTAACACCCATGACGCTTATGCCTTTGAAAGGTTTAATTCCAAAATAAGCATTCCAATACTCGCTATTGTCACTTGATTGCCTGAACAGCCATGAAGCTGTCCTCATGACAGTTTTGTGGATGAGCATGGCCCCAGCCTGGGCCAGGCATCTGTGCACTGTGCTGGATGCAGGAAGGAGTGGGGAAGGGAAGGTCCCACATTCCTCTGGTCTCATKCTCTTCAGATAAATCTGCACACAGATAATTTTATAATTGTGCCAGCCAGCACTTGGGAATCACTGTAGAGAGCTGCAGGTGTTTGCTGTTCTTGGGTGACTTAATAATAAAATAACTGCATGAAGAGTCAGTTTTAGCATAAGAAAGAGACAGAGATTTAGGTCTGAAGACTAATCCTATGTTTCCAAAAGACATATGGACAAAAGTCCATATCAAGCAGTATCTAACCCTGTATTTCATTTCTGTTATCACTTATTCAGCAGAACACATGATGACATGAACTAGGGCACATTTAAGCAGTAGTTTGAGGACTGAAATGTCATCTGAAGTGAAATTCCGAGAAGATCCCGTTGCTGGGGGATGGGATGAGAGCACTTACAAAGATAAGTATAAGTGAAATTGAACAATAAAATGCTTGTCATCTTTATATTCCRATCATTTATGCTTGGAGAGCTATCAGATGCTGGGCATAATCAGGTACAGGGCAGGATCCAATCAGTAYGTCTCCACAGAGCGCTCTACTGCTGCTCATTGGCGTTCTCTATCACGGGGATGTATATAAGCTCAGAGCTGAGGCACAGGGAATGTACTCGGCTAACACACYGAAACTGGTAAGTATAGCTTATCTCTTACTGAGCATGCTTCTTTCCCGATAGCAAAGTACATGGGAGTAGTGCCTACTAACCAGATCACATTGTTATCATGGAAAGGCTTAAAAATAGCTATGCTGTGACTTCTGCTGAGCCTACTCAACCTCTGACTGTAATCCAGGGAGTGTGTGTGTGTTTTCAGTAAGATGTGAATATATCTGAAAATCAGTGAGGTTCTGACTTTGCACCATAAGGTCAATTGGGCAGTGCAGTAGGTTGCCCAGAGAGGTTGTGCAGTCTCCATCCTCGCAGATTTTCAACACTAACTGGATAAAGCTCTGAACTTAGTGTTGACTCTCCTTTGTAAAGGAGGTTGGTTTGGAGACCTCCTTTGTAAAGGAGGTTGGTTTGGAGACCTCCTAAGGTCCCTTCCAGAACTGGTCATTCTATGATTTTATTGACAAACTGTTTTTGTATTTGTCTTAGTGAGAGAAACACTATTTCTTTAAAATCTATTCATTTTTAATGAACACACTAAGATTGTATTTTGCTTTGAATGCATATAGAAATCTGGAGCAGGTGAGTATGGAATCCTTCTGCTCTGCTGACTTCATTTAATCTTTGTAGGATTATCTTGGTTTTCTTCCTTTTGAAGTTATCAGTGCAGTCTGATAACTTAATAACTGAAATYGCTTATCTGAAATGTACTCTATAAACATTAGCCTATGCTCTTTGTCATATGTTTTCATTAAGTTGTAGAAGCTGCAGAATTATGTGTTCCTATGCCCTGTCTCTTGCATTGCCTCCCATTCCAACCAACTTGGGTTATTTTCCCTTATCTGTAGTCCATTCTGTGCTGCTTCGATCTTCTTTATCTAACACTCCTGTGCTCTGAAGAGATTAGTAGTGCCATTATAGAATACCTAACAAAGATCAGATGTATTTGACAGCTGAGCAGATGATAGCTGAAGCTTCAGGGAAAGGTAGGAGGGGGATTTTGGTATCAGTGTCTGGGACATAGGTAYGAGTTTCCATAATCAAGGGAGAACATATCTTTGCTTTGTGATACAAGGTGACTTAAAACTGTATTGGAGGCAGTGTGAGGAGATGTTTGCTTTGGATATTGCTCCTCTCAGCAATCCTTGACTGCAGTCAAACTTTCCACTGCAGTCTCACCCCCCTTTCTGGTCCTGCTTATCACCCAGAGTGCATGTTAGCACAAGGTAGCTGCTCAAACTGTCAGCTGAGGAGTGCATTGGTGTCTTCTCCTCACCTCAGAAAGATATGGGAAGGTCAGGCTCCACCTCTCCGTTGGTACTAGAGTTACTGTTTCAGGTCGTCTACAGTCTCACATTAACTTTACTGGGGTTCCTACACTTCCAGCAATCTTTATCTTCAGAATCATAATGGTTTGGGGCATGTTTTAAATATAAATGCAGACCCTAGGGCACAGCTATACAAGAGATATTAGAATGGTCTGTGTGAATGGTCTAGATTAGAAGGGAATCTACGCAGTCGTAATCACATTGTAGAAAGAGTTAACCAACCTTTACGTAGATACACGAGACCTCCTGCAGCAATAATGAATGTGGATGTTGTAGATGTTGATTGGTTTCTGATCTTTGGGCTTTTAGAGACTTTATCTGTATCCACTTTGAGTGGCTGAATAAATGAAACCCCATTCTTTGCCTTGTTTTTGTACTGGATATTTAGGGAATAGAGCATAACGATTACGCTGCAATACTGTTTGAAGAAGGCCCACATCAGTAATGCTCCCTTCCTTCAGCCCTTCCAACTTCCAGCACGGCATGCTGTCCCCATTTTACAGTTTTGGGGTTGGGTAGGGGCCTCACTGGGGTCTAGGACACCTCTTGGCAGTGGCAATGTGCTCTGACTTTGCATTTCCCGCTCTGGCCCTGACAGGGTAGCCCTAAAGAGGCAGGGCAGGGCTGCTGAGAGGCAGGACAAGGGACTCTGCAGGAGGCACTCAGGTAGTCCTTGCTGCTTGCAGGGCATACAAAATCCTGTTTTCTTCACCCCCACCAAAAACAAGCAAATTGGGAGGTTTCCTTGCATTTTTCTGCAAGGAAAACATTTTCCCTTGTGCCTCCTCTCCTTGTTGTGCTTTGGGCAACTGGCAAGAGAAGGATCCAGGACTGGGCAGGGGACAAAGTTAAAGCATGAGAACAAGCCTGGACCTCCGACCATGCCTTAGATATCAGGGCCCTTCCTGGCCTCCAGCCCCCTTTGGATCTCTGTGTCATTGGGTGAAAATTTCCGTCACCTGTAAAAGAAAGTGCTCTTTTCTGTTGAGCCCAGCCCCGAACCTTTCCCTGAAGCTTTGGGGAGGTAGGTTTGGGCACCCAGACCTTCTCGGTGACCGCTGCCACGCAGCCGCCATTTCGGAGTGTGACACCACCACGCGTGCGCAGCCACTCCGCGTCACCCTCAACACAGCAATGGCTGTAGCCACGGGGTGGACGTGCTGGGGCTGAAGGAGGCCTGGGCAGCCTCGACTTGCCCTGTAGTTATGGCAGTTATGTCAGAGACTGGGGGAAGCCTCACAGGCATCTTAGTTTGAGCCACTTTCCCTCTCTTCTCATCCAGCCCGGCCACAAAATGGCAGAGACGGGAGTAACCAGGCCTTGGTGGGGGAGGTAGAGAGAGGGGAAGAAAATGCCAGTAAACTCCTGTCTGCCAAAATTTTGGTTGGCAACCAGTGACCCTAGTTGTGAAAGCAGGCTAACTGCCTGTGATATACACTCCAGCTTATCTCTTCTTTACCCACAAGTGACTTTTGCTCCTTTTCAGTTAATTCGCTAGGTAAACAAGGATTTGCTTGGGGACATACTCTCAAGGCTGACACAAATCCTGGCCTTCAAGGAAAATGACTTTTTATTATTATTATTATTTTAATCCCTCCTGAGATAGCAGGCTTGGTGGCAGCGGGGAAGAGCACAGAGAGCACAGTGTGTAGCATGGGCCCTCCACCTTTGCCAGGATCCAAATTTTGTCTTTATCATCAGGCTCATTGTGTCTGTTGCTCTTCAAGCCTCAGTCCCTGGGCCATGTGCATATCAAATTATGAGCCTCTGTCTCCAAACAAGTTCTGATGCCTGTGGCTGAAAAGGAGGCACAAAAAAGCCAACAACAAGAAAAACAAACAAACAAAAAATGTGAAAAGAATGCAAAAATCTACAGGACTCAGAAGAGAAGTTCTATTAAAAAAAAAAAAAAAGGCAAAATGAAATAAAAATTGTTGGGTTCTTTCCTAAGCTGGTATTTCGGTTTATGGAAACTGAACTAAGCTTATGGTAATGCTTGAAAGATGGCAAAAAAGGCACATTTGTGCATGGAGCATTTTTCTGGTGGCTTTGTTTAATATGCTCAGGGACATGCTGTCTCCCTGGGAAATGTCCTTTGGAAAGAGAACAGAGGTGGGAAGTGGTAACAGGCTTGATGTGACAAGTGGTAGCTGGCTCAATGTCACATACTGTTTGCTAAAACCCTGCCATTACTCAAATGACAGTGTATTTATTAATCACCTCCTTTTTTATTGTGTTTCAAGGATACCCCAGCAGCCAGAGCGAATCGTGGCTCCGTTATCTGAGTTGGTGGAGAAGCCATCCAGGAAGCAGTGCCCTGCTAGCAAGTTGCTACCGCCGTGCACTGCAGAGAAGACACTGCAAGCGGGCGAAGCCAGCAAGCGAGCAGAAGGATGGCAGAAATGGTAATCGAGGCTGCTTTGGGTCTCACGTGTCGAGTCGTAAACTAATTATGTAATCAGGGGCCAGCCGTAACAACTGTGCTGGCTGCTTGCCTGGATGCTATTAAGTCAGACGTGCTTTGTTGGCATTACAGTCAACCCAGCTGTCAACACAGGGCAGGGGAGTGGTTTTATGGCCTGGAATGAAGATGATGCTCCACGTGTCTGTTGGCCACTGCCATCTGTGCTTTATGTTTTGGCTCTACTGTCCTCCTTTCTGCTGCCCTCATTACCTTCCCTAAATGATAGGCAGTAGCTAGACTGTGCTTCCTGCAGCCCCTTCTTTTTTCCACATGGCCTGTTCCTCCCACTAGCAATCCTCTGGATCTGGAAATAAGGTATCTCTTCTTCAGATCAATGAAAATCTGGTTTGGTTCTATCAAACTCAAAATTAAAGCTCTCTTGTTGTTATGCTTGTTCTAATCTCAAAATGTACCACTAACATAGTGCAAGAAGATAAAGGAGAATATACTATAATAAGAAAACAACAGCAACTTCATCATCAATCCAAGTAAAACAAGATAGATGACATCCACCACTCTCCTCTTGTCTATCCAGCTAGTCATTCCATCATAGAAGGTGATCAGGTTAGCCAAGCATGATTTCCCCTTGGTGAATCCATGCTGACTACTCCTCAGCACCTGCTTCTCCTCCACGTGTCTGGAGACAGCAGCCAGGATGAGCTGTTCCATCACTTTCCCAGGGACAGAAGTGAGACTGACTGGCCTGTAGTTGCCCGGGTCCTCCTTCTAGCCCTTTTTGAAGACTGGTGTGACGTTGGCTTTCTTCCAGTCCTCCCCTGTTCTCCAGGAGCTTTTGAAGATGATGGAGAGTGGCTTAGCTATAAGCAGCTATATATATATATATATTAGCTATAAGCAGCTATATATATATATATAAATGCTGCTCACGCAGCACTCTGGGGTGCATCCCATCAAGGTCCATGGATTTGTGGGTATCAGGTTTTCCTAAGTGCTCTCTGATCCAATCTTCCTCTACCCAGGGCAAGTCTTCCTTTCTCCAGGATTCTTCTCTTATCTCTAGGGTCTGGGATTCCAGGGGGCTGCCCTTGGTAAACACTTACTGAGCTGCAAGGTCCCTTTATTCTGTGAACAAACCAGGAGAGAGACTTCCAGTTATCAAAAACTTACTTCTTTTCTTCATGTGGCTGATCACAATCACAAAAGGATGAATGATGAATTGCAGTTGTCTAAATCTTTTTGCAGAACTTGATGGCAAACACAGCCAAGCCAAGAAACTGATTGCAAGTGCTGATTTCATAAAAAGAACCTACAAAGAACACCAATAAGAAATAGATGTTGCCATAGTGAGTGACACCAAAGACCTGTGCAACCCTTTATCCTGTTTCTGATTTTGGTCACCAATAGATGCTAAGAATAAATTATAAAACCAGACTCATCCTTTTCTCTATATTTGCACCATTAGTAATGTACTATCTCCCCATAATGCATGTATGTATATGCATTAGAACCAGCATATTTAAGAGTTACTAATGAACTTTATCTTTGTGAACTTGTCTAAAACTTTCTGGTTCCACTGATACCTCCTTTGCTTCTATAATTGCTCCTGATAATTTAGTTCTGCCTTATTCCTTGGTTTTGAAAATAAGTGTTTCCCAGTCAACTTCTTTAGATGTTCCAGGCCACTCTCATTTTCAGTGATCATTTTCAGTCTGAAGAATCCTGCTTTATTTAAGCTGTTTTGCTGTGGAACTTTTCTGTACCCCTGAGCACCTTTGTTGCCCTTCCCTAACTTTTTGTTTCTATACTTCAATCTTTTTCACTTTTAACAAACATTAGTACTAGAGCACAGGTTGTTCACCAGTCCTTTGAGACACAGCATCACAGCACAATTTTTCTCCAATTATTGTTGGATGGGCTAAAACATATATATGATTTCTCTACTGTTATAGTAAAAATTATTCTCCTTGGCCAAACAGTTAAATGCAGAGTGCCAAATATTCAAGTGGGGGGATGCCTGAATGTGTATTAGAGCAGAAGAAGAATTACAGGAGATAGCGATCATCAGATGTTCTGTTATAGTGTTGAACACTATAACACTGTGTTTTACCTATATGATCCAGTATACCAACACCAGACATGTGACAAAAGAACATATGCAGCTCTACAACTGGGTTTTTGCAAACTGATCATCTTGTTTTCACAGCCAAAGACAGAAATCATTTCTTTCCTGGGATATTTATTGCACTCATGCCTGCATATACACTCCCAGGTTACTGTGGTTCTCTTTCCCCAACACAGGAGCTGACCAAAGCATCCCTTCTTAAGAATGGCAGTTGTGCAGGAAATCAGGAAAGGAAAACTGACAGCGCGTGGATTCTTCCCAACGTGCCCAGCAAGTGCACATGGACAGCTKCCACACCTGCCACCAAGTCTCCACACTCCTGTATACCCTTGTAAGTAACTCCTTTATGCTGATTTATGCTGAGTACACAAGATTCAGCATCTTCCTGTGAAGATGGCACACTGTGTTGTTACACCAGGACGGTCATGACCAGAGGGCAGTGGTTTTACAATAGGTCATGCTAATGATGTTTTTTCAAAAGGCACCAGCTATCGAGTAGCTGCTCTACAGAAAGAACTTTCTCTGTCCCTTTCATCTTGCAGAACTATGTTGCTGGCTTAAGAGTYAGGCCTGGGTTTTCCAGCACACACTTGAAAGCTTCTGCTAGTTTGGGGCATCTCATTTTAGAAGGAACAAGATGGACAGATTTCAGAGGTGGCATTCAGCCAGAGACTTACATACTTCYGTAGAAAGGACTTTGCAGGGTCTGGTGTTACACAACGGAAGTGAAGGCACTCCAGACTTCCAGGCACTGGCAGAGGTGTTGTAATTGTGCTCTTGGCTAGAATCTAACATAGGCAGACAACTCAGAGCTGTTGCTCACCATCCTTTCCTACCACAGAGTCAGTAAGAGTTACTCATTCACCAGCTGAAGGGCTACAGTTCAACCACCCTTGTTCATTCAAACAGTCTGAGGCAATATGTGAGAAGAGTACAAAGTATTAGCAATATCTTTACCCATTGCTAGTTATCTTCACAAAAACTGTTTACCAGGTGCTGGCCTTTTGTGTAGAGAGAAAACAACTGTAGCAGAGATTGCCTACTTTGTACAAGGGAAGCAAGAGTGCAGTGCAAGTCTAAAACAGTGATTATTATGAGCCTGTTCTTGTCCTCCCAACAGCTGATTTCCTCCTGGAGTGATGTAAGCCTGCTGAAGTGCCCAGACTGAACGAGAGGTTCTTTAACATCCCTGCAAACCAAACGCAGACAAGCTATTAGAGATAAGCCTGTTCCATAAATGTCAAGGACGTGTCTCTGTTGTGCCAAAGGTGTAAAACAGGAATTCGACTTCAGCATTTATGCAATTAGAGCCTCTGGGACGTGCGGCTTGTGGATTCTGTGTGGATGCCTGCCAGCTAGAAGCCAGCTGGGAAATCTTTGTACCACCTGCCAYCTCCCTGAGCAGGTGGGAGAGCCCTGCACAATCAGAGCATGGCTCACCAGGAAAGGCACAACCTGAAACAGTTTCTAGATCTAGTGCTCAAAGAAGAAATGCGTCCTGCAGTTTCAAAGTTAATCTAGCAAGCATGCATCCAGTTGGTCACCCGGTATAAACCATGTAACTAGAACTGGAATCATGAGTGCTGAATTCACTAGACTGAATTCACTAGACTGAATTCCCTAGACTAGACTTTCACACTGAGGTAGTCTCTAGTCCAAACTTCCTCTCCCGATGCAAATTCTCATGAGGCTTCGTGTGCTCCTCAAGTGCCATACAGAAGTCTGCAGTATAGGAAACGCAAGTGCTTCTTGCTCTCTGATCATCTATGAGCCTCTACTAGTGCAGCTTCCTTTCTTCCTGAAAAGGACCTCAAAGAAACCTGTAATTGACTCTCTTCAAGTCAATGACATTAAGCAATTAGCATTTTTGTTTTCTTTTTTAAGAAACACCATGATTCTAGTATCCAAAGTCTATTTCCCAGCCTGGCCCATTCTTATCTAGATATGAGAGATCGTAGGACTCAACAACCTGCAAGAAGAATCAGCCAGGTCACTGCTTTATAGAGCTCACGTGCTCCACTCCCCAAGGCTGACTGTCCTCACAGAATGCAGGTGTGGTGAGAGAACTGCTCAGGCAGGAACAGGCCTTCTGCAGCTCCTGACACTGTCAACCTTTCTACTGGCATTACCAAACCAAGCATCTCCTCCTAGATCTGAGCAAGTCATAACCAGGCTTTCCTGTGCAGTATTCATGAGGGGCTGAAACTTGGAAACAAAATGCTTGGAAATGTAGTCCCCTGAGGTACTGTGAAAGCCTAGAAGTCAAGACAATGTTTTTAGTCAAACCTCCTGTGCTCCTAGGTCCTGGACATTTATATTCTCAAATCTGCCCCCTTTGGGGAAAACAGAGATGAGATAAAACGTGACAAAGTCTTCATGATTCACTCTGTACAAGCGTATCCTTGTGTCCACTCACTTTCTAAACAGCAAAGCTTCTTCCTGAAAGACATCCTTTTATATATCACTAAAGAAATTGCACACAAGTTACAAAGCACCACGAGACATCACACTGTTGTGTGCAAGAAGCATATGTAAGAAGGGATGTTTTGTTTTGTTTTGTTGGGGCTTTCTGAGATTCCCCTATGAAATATGAGTGAATTTAGGGGTAGAGGGTGAAGCATGGAGAAAGAACTTGTTTTAATTAAACAATACTAATTAATAGTTTTTCCTTAGATAGAGAGCTGAACAGGTTTTGATATTCTTGGAGCTTGTCCTGTGACATATTTTAACATCAATAAGAATTACTTGGCTTGTCGGGACTGCCTTTTCTCTGGACCACTTATGCAATAATAAGTCTTACAGAGTAAAAGCATAATTCTTGGAGAAAGAAACCAACCTTGTGCCATGGCAATCCTGAACGGACACAAACTGTTGGAAGATGGGAGAATGCCCACTACATCCCTCAGGAGCACCAAAGGCATTTTCTAGGTATACTTGTATCCATAGTACTACTAACTTCAGGCACAGACATAAATCTTGGATAATCCTGGCAAGGAAGCTAAGCATGCTAGTAGTATCTTTGTAGTAAAACATGTTAGGTACTAGGAATTAATTTGACAGAACTATAGAAAATTGGATGCCTTGCCCCAGAGAGGGGGGAAGGTCTCTTAKACTTTTGGGGGCAGTCACTGTGCTGGGTGACAACACAAAAGATTTCTGATTCCCACCTTTGATGTCCTGGCAAGGCTTGCCCTGGCATGTGAGAGGAGTGGCTGTTATTTCACATCCCCTCTGCTTTGCTAGGCTCCATCACTGCAGACCCCCGAGCCCTATAACTTCTCACACAGCTGCCTCATGGGGTTCAGAGAGCATGTAGCATCTTGTTTGCCACTGTTATTGACAGAGGTGAATCAGTGGGCTTGCTTTCTTCTTTTGAGCTGACTTCCTGCAATCTAAAAACATCTAATACTCAAGGTACTGAGCCTGAAAACCAGGCTTAGCTCCAATGCTCGCTAGCAGTTCCTGTCTACCCCAAAGAGCTGGTGTCTCCTTGCACTTTGGGCCAGCTCTTGTCCGCACTGAAATCACAGACACTTTTCGTGGCTTTTGCAGCTGGGGCTTACCATGCAGATGGGAAATGGCTACAGCTGTGGGGAATGCTCACTTGTTATGGACTCACATTCATCAGTATTCATTAGAGGTTACTACCACACAACCAATTGTTGTGTGGTGACACATTTGTTGAGAGAGAGGTAGAAGTACATGTGTACAATACACCATCTTTTCTGGGCTTGACATGTAAGAAAATTGGTTTCTTTTGACAATAAGTACCTGAAGTCTGTATTTCAATTACACTAAAATAGTATGTCTGTATTCCTGCAAAACAACAAGTGTTTATGGCAGAGTTGTAAACTCTGGAAGAAGGGACATGTGTCTTTAAGTAAAGAGCATGTCATCCCTATGTCATGTGGACTTTCTGTAAGCAGACAGCCATCTGCCTGACTGCAATAGCAGGCAAGGATAACTTGGGTTCAAAGTTCAAAGGATGATAGTAAGCAAGAGGTGTTCAAAGGCGAGCTAAACAGTGAGGGAATGCAGGGAAACATGTGGGATRTCAACCAGAGACAGTATCTTTGTGGCCCCAAAACACTTTTCCCTCTGTGTTTTAAAAAGTTCAAGGGCATCAGTTCTCCATCAGCATGGCAAGATGCTTTTAGCTATGTGTCGAGGAAGCAAGCCTGTATCACTCCAATTGCAATTTCTGTGATGTTTCTTGGCTCCTGTTGGAATCTGATGGGGACTAGAGAAAGCAGAAGGCTGAATATCCATGATCCAAGAGATCCATTTAATCATTTGTGAAAAACTCCAGTCATGCACAAAGGCCTGCAGAAGTGGGGCTAAGCCCTGAGCTGTTTATCAAGGTACATTGAAATAATAAGGGACTTGCCTCAAGTGAGGTGATTTGTATTGCCTCTGGTATCACTGCTGTGTGAACTTGGGTGTTGAGCAGTCCACTAATACAGGCTTTTGTAGAACTGAGAAGGGAAGCATCTAGACCGATATTTCATTCCTTTATTAAGGGCATAAACTTGAAAAGTCAGAGTGAAATTAGTTATTGATTARAAAAGTTGTCAGGTTCATATCTTTAGAGGAATGGAAATAAAACTCAGACAGGATTCATCAGGAGCATCATTTCAAGGACACAGAGCTCCATACTGGGTTATGGCCATTCATGCTTTGAAATCCAGGAACTGACTGATGCTGAGAGGTGTTGTGCTCATCAGTCAGAGGCTGAGTTTCCTTTAAGTAGCTTGGGGCAATCCTTGCAAGTATGGGAGTAGGTCCTGACTAGGCAAGGAACAGTTTGCTCCAAGTCCTCAGAAAACATGAAGAGCAGAGCTGGTGCTACGTAGGATGGGGAAAAGAAGARAAGGCTTTATGGTGGCCTTCTGCCTTTCTCAGCTGCTATATAAAATCCTGATGCTTGTTAGCTCTTCTCATTTCACTTAGTTATGAGTCTGACCTATTGGTTCATTGAAGAAGACGCTTTAGAAGAGTTCTGAAAATAAGTTATCTTCTTTTTATATCCAAAAGAATAAATAACTCATGGTAACAGTGATGGAAGACCACAACTAGTTCCTGATGTCTTTAATCATATGTGGGTGTAAGTTGAAACACAGGCAGTTCCTTCTGCATGTGAGGAAGAACTTCTTTCCTGTGAGGGTGCCAGAGCCCTGGCACAGGATGCCCAGGGAGGCTGTGGAGTCTCCTTCTCTGGAGGCCTTCAAAACCTACCTGGATGCCGCCCTGTGCCCCGTGCTCTGGGTGACCCTGCTGGAGCGGGAAGGTTGGACTAGGTGATCTCTAGAGGTCCCTTCCAACCCTAAACATTCTGTGATTCTTTGACTGTGGAGCCAGGATGTCTCTTGGTGGCCTACCAGATATGTTGAAACCTCAGTCAGATTTTATCCTAGGTTGGGTTACAAGTGCTCTTATTTGATATATTTCTTTTTTTCTTCTCTATCAATACAGACAAGAAGAAACAAAGATCTTGCCCAACATCCTGAAGAAAATCGGCTGCACCCCGATGGTCCGAGTCAACAAGATTGGGAAGTCCTATGGGCTGAAGTGTGAGCTCTGTGAGTATCCTTTTGTCACCATCGTTTTCTGGACAGTGAGGCTAGGGTGAGGTGCTCTATCAGAGGTGACTTCCGGACAGACTCTGCAGAGAGCAAGAACTGAAAGGGGGACCAAATGTAGCAATGTTACTTGTGATCAGAAGGCAACAGTCTAGTCGTTTTTCAGATCAAACCAGATGGTTTCAGGCTAATGGTCTGAGTGAAGGTGTCTCCCCTCCCAACGAACAGCTTCACAAGCTCTGGCTCCCTTTTCAAAGCATGAATCCATTTGTCCAGGTGAGCACCCCAGGCCTTGCTCGAGCCACGTGCACCGTGTGCAGGCAATCGAGGGACACTCGATTATCACCAGCTCTGCACCAGCTGCCTGTTCCTGCTCTCTCACCTGAGGCCTGGGGTGTTTTAGGCACCACGGAGRTGCAAGCCCATGACAGCTATCACAGGCATGTAGCAAAGTCACACCGTAACTTGTTCGCATACCCCTGACATGAGCTATTATGTTGCTTCCTAGATATTACAAACCCCAGAAAGCAAGTTTGGGCGGGTACCTTCTTTTCGTTGCTGATGTTGCCTCCCTGCAACAGCTCAGGGTGGAGCCGGGATGATTTTGGGTGCTGGCCGATAAGACACCACGCTGCGTTACGGGCGGCAGCGCTGCAGCCTGGCTGCGCCGCTCCTCCCCTGTGCAGCACCTCTAGCACAGAGGTGGCAAAGGTGCCCGAGAYGCTGCCGCCAGCAGCAGTGTGGGGCACGCAGGGCCCTCTCCCAGCCTGCCCGGGCACAGGGAGCAGCGAGGGCTCCGTGCAGCAGCACCAGCGCTCCTGGCCTCCAGCCGGAGCACGTGCAGTCCTGGGGCCGCCAGGGCAGGCCAGCCGGGCGGCCGGCCTCACGCTGGGACCGCCTGGCTCCCCGGGCGCTGCCGGAGGGACTCTGCTCCACCTCTGCTCCACCTCTGCTCCACCTCGGCCAGCTGGAGCCGGGCCGGGCCTGCCCCTTCTCTGCGTCACTGCCCCCAGGGCTCTGTCTGGGATTTCATTTTCTGCAGTGGCTCCCTTTGGGATCTCCCCCAAAGCGGCCTGAAGTCAAAGAGCAGGGATTTTTGGCAGCTGGGTGTATCGGCAGTGCGTGTACCAGGCTGGTAGGCCCCCAGTCCTTCCAGCAGGAGCCACGCTCACCCCTGCCCCCAAGGGGATTCGGTATCCCTGCCTCCCAATGGGTGCGTTATCTCATGCAAGGGTTGCCTTTACCTTGGTCTCCTGCAGAAATAAGGGTGATGCAATCAGGCTGTCTCTGGGTATACGGGCTTTGCAGCCTGCCTTCCTATAACTAAACTGGTCGGGAAGACAAACATCAAGGTTGATGAATTTCAAGAGGCTGGGGTGGGAGGAGTGACTTGATTAGTGCTCGTTCTCCGTAAAACAGCACAGCGGGATCTTACAGTCTTATTTGACAGCTGGGAATCCCCATGGTAACCAGTCTCCACGGGACACAAATCCACATGAAACACACTGTGCTCTTTGGCTCCATCCCTTTTAGGTGCCCCGTGAGGCCCCTAACCCCGTAACCTTAGAGACTGCCACATTTCACTGCCTGTCTCCTTCTGGAGCAAGACTTTAGAGCACCATCGGTGTGCATGAAGCCAGGGGTGGGTGGGTGGAGGGCAGCTCTGCAGTTTCCAGTTCACCTGTGAAGAAAGCCTTTCATTTGGAGGATGCCTTGCCAAGACAAGTGCCTGCCAGGCAGGGAAGGATTTGGTCCAAGCAGCAACRAGCAAGCTMGGGAGCAAGTCTGAGCCTTGTTTTYYCTGGGATGGTGTCTCCCTCCCCTGGTGCAGAAAGGGAAGGAGAGCAGGACTTTCACAAAATTGCCCTAAGTTCCTTTCTGCATAAACCATCAGCCATCACAAAGSCTGTTACACAGCAAAGACATGAGTGCTGGCTGTAACTGCAACATTAAGGTAGAAGTTAAAATTACCCTCGATTACCTTCCAATTTCTGTTCCGTTAGGGATGTCTGTGTGTCTGGAATTTTGGCGGTTTGCCTTATAAAATGCAATGGTAAACACAATTTTTTTTTTCCATTTGCTTTGGCTGCTCATGTATCTGGTTGATTCAGCTCAGTCTGAAGGAGATGGCTCTGAAAGGATGAAGCGAATCACATCCTGAAAGCACTCATCTCTCCCTGTTGTCTCTGAAACAGGGCCTGGTGTGCCCATTTCAGATAYGAATAGCAAAGAGTGAGAATAATCCTATCCAAAGCATTAAGAGCGTTAAGGGCCTGATCAGGAGTACACATCTGCCTTGCAGTTTGAGTGCACATTAGAAAGTTTCTCTTACTTGGCTTTTGGCAGTTGAGCTTAGAAAGTGTGATTTTGGCTGTCAGTTGAAAGCATACTTTCTATTGTTTGTTTTTTATAGCACCCTATTCAGAAGTATAGAACAGCCCTATAGAAAGGCACCATTTTAGATACCTATTAATATTCCAGAGCCTGCCGTAGCCCAGGAAAAGCCACAAAACCTTGCTGTGAACCCTGACATTGCCTTGCTTGAGGGCAGCAGGGCATTCCTATTAGTGCATCACCCTCACATCATCTCAGTAGATGATTTTAAATCTATATAGGATTTACCGGACCAGCCCACTGCCGTCAGGTGCAGGTAGATGACACCTGGGTCACATCTCTTGATGTAATATGGGCAAGTATGTTGACAAGGAATCCCRTGGCAAGCTGTGGTGCCCCGTGAGCAGGGGGCTGAGGTGTTTCTCTGAGCAAAGAGTCCATCTTACAGAGGAGCAAACGTTTTCCCAAAATGATGACAGTGAGGACCAGAGCGGGCTGGGGGCTGGAGGGTGCCTGGCACTTGTGGCTGTAGCTGGTCCCTGACAGAGCGTCACCTTTGAACCGCAGTGGCAAAGTGTGAGTTCTTCAATGCCGGGGGCAGCGTGAAGGACCGCATCGGCCTGAGGATGGTGGAAGACGCAGAAAGAGCCGGGATTATAAAACCTGGAGACACACTCATTGAAGCCACCTCAGGAAACACAGGTGGGAAGCGTATGTGTGACACGTGTCCGGGTACCAGGCAGACTGAAGATAGGGCCCGAGCTGTGGAGGGGTCACACAGGAGGAGCAGTACAGAGATTTATGGAGTTCTTGCACTTCCTAATATGCTGTTGAGTGAAAACACTGGACTGACTAAACTTATCCTGGCCACTGCAATGTTCTTTCCACTGACCCATTTGTGGAAACATCTGAAGAAACATCTTTGAAACACCATTACCCCCTTGCCCGGTGCAAAGTGACAGATCTGTGAGCACTGATCYTTGGGCAACGAGCAGCAAGAAGGTTAGCTAGGGGCCCCGTGGCTCTGGCTATGTCCTCATCTAAACTGGCTCCCTCCTGGCTGCCTCAGGTAGTCCAAGGTGCTGCGGTGACTCATTGCTGAGATGCCGGAAGGGTCTCTGAGTATCCCATCCTGTGCAGACGTGGTCTTGCCTACACATGCCCTYGAGGTCACCCCTTGGGAACACAAACAGCCTCAGGAGCTGCAGCAGCTGGGGCAGCCCACGTGCTTTCTGGCTGAGAAGTTTTTGAATATTCAGTTCCCCAAAGAGGGTTTCCCCRATGGGCTGGGAGATTTTTGTTTCCTCTTTGTCGCTGTCATCTTTCTTAGGCTGGCTGGTGGCTACAAGTGACAGAGAATAGAGGAGTCTCTCCTCCAGTTTGCAGCCCACACAAGACATGGGGACACTTGCTGAATTTCCATGGTTCTTTCCTTCTCCCAGTATCAATGCCTCCCCAAAAGCCATGGATRTGTGTGTACAAAGCCAGCTTTGCTGAAAAAGACACACTGGTAGATATCAATGCACTTYGGAAGGCAATGAAGCCACGTCCCTTGCAGTGCTCCCCTCTGCTGCTAGTAATGTAGAACAGGGCTGTTTTCTATAAGTTTTGCTCTTTCCTGAGCCATTTGTTCCAAGACTCCCCGCATCAGCCYTTGTTTATCCCGGGCATTTCCCGGCGCCGGCGCTGCTCTCCTCCCGGGGCTGGGGCAAAGGGATCCTCCCTTGTTGGGCATTCACGACGTGGCGCAGGCTGCTGCYCGGACTCGCTCCGGGCTGGAGCCTGGGCCATCACAGCAGCACCAGAGTTGCTTAAACTCCCCTGGGCCACCTTCTCCCGGCTGTTTGGAGTGCTCCAGCCTCCCTTTCCTTATCTAGCCGGGGAACAGCTGTCCACATTCATCACGCAGAGTGAAATCAGAGCACGGACACCCTTCGCCTGCTCACCACAGAGCCAGATCTGCAGCCTCATCCCTCCCCACGCAGAAGAGAGAGCRTTTGAGGGGGAGGGGAAGTGCTCCTGAGATGGAAACAGGGCTCCCCTGTATTTCACAAAGCCCAGTGCGGCGGGCAGAGGAAGAGGCCGGAGCTTTGGCACGGGAAGGAGAGCGATCCCCAGCCTTGCTGTTCGCTGCATGCCGCACMACAGGCCGCTCACTCTCTGGGGCCCACAGCCGTGGGACAGCAGGGCATCCCCCCACACTCCCRGGCTTTCCAAGCACACCCTGCAAGGCTCAGCGAGGAAGCCCTCCCTCCTAGCTGGTCAGCAACAACTCGCAGCTTACGCTCGCCCGTCGGAGAGGGGACTGTAGGAAGTGTGAGGGAACGTGAATGTCAGTCGGCCTTGCCAAATGCCGTTGCCTTATCAAACAACTCCCTTTCTCCCGCCCTCCGCAGGCATCGGGCTGGCCCTGGTAGCTGCAGTGAAAGGCTACCGCTGCATCATTGTCTTGCCGGAGAAAATGAGCGTGGAAAAGGTCAGAGCTCCCTGTGGTATTTCCCTGCAGTTTGGGAACAGCTCCCTCTTTCTCTCTGTCTCTCTCTCTCAAGAACTAGAGGGTCCTCTCCTTTAAAGGGTAACTCACATATCTTTGTAGCTATTCAGAAGATTYCCTCTGTTTCTTYCCAAAGAAACAACACAGCGCGCTGCGRTGATCCCACTGATTATCTGGTGTCAGTGACGCAGCTGGGGTCACGTGTTAGCCAAATAGGGTGCCCTTCTGCAGAGAAATGGAGCAATCTGCTGCCTGAGAGCTGGGGCTGGAGGGAGTGAGGGAGAGGAGGGCAGGGTGCCCGGGCTCTGCTGCCAGCCCTGCTCTCTGCTGCTGTGGCATTTGGAGGGTTACTTGAGCTCCCCGTGTTTCTAGGGTTTTCTTTAGCCTGGAGACATTTGGAGTTTTCTGAGCTGTTTTCTGAGATGGTGGAAATCAAGTCACTCGCATGAGAGCTGCAAGTGATGGCTAGGTGGAATTTCTGTCCACCAAGTGATGGCAGAAATCTCCCACAGTCTTGGGGAGCCCAAGGTCCCACAAACTGGTCAGCTGGATTCATGCTGTGAAGCCAAACTTGGATCCTGACTTGACTCAAAACTGAGCCCTTCTCCACCCCCATCTTGTTCTAAATCTCACTTAAGCTGAGTCTGGATCAGATGCCACCTCCTCCCCCAGCTGCCATAGGTCTCACTTGCACAAGCTGACACTCACTCTCCTTCTCTGGGACACCCCCACTCCCTCGGCAATCACATCCCTCTGTGGATTAATGCCCCAGGATTCATTTGTAGTTACTCCTTCCCCATGCTTGGGCAGAGGAAGGAAGGGACCTGAGGCAAAAAATGTTTTAAATCCCTCTGTGCTCACAGCCTGAATCCACAGCACATATGAAAGCCGCCCTCAGGTGCTGTTCCCTTATACCCTTTGTGCCCTTCCCGGGGTGGCGTTACCTGCCCCCACCTGCCTCCGGAGCAGAGCTGGGCTCAGGGCGAGGCTCCATGTGCCAGCACCCAGCGGGAGGCCCCGGGCTGCCGGGGGGATATCAAAGTAACTGAGAGTCGGACATTGTCACTCCAAATGTTAAATGTCTCCTGCATGCAGAGCTTCTCCGGCATCTGACCCACGGCGGGCGCGGGGCTCAGGTTGCCGACGCTGCCTGGGATCGGTTGCATTACCTCTGCTTTCCTCCCTCTGAAAGGTGGATATTCTGAAGGCGCTGGGCGTGGAAATAGTGCGGACGCCGTGCACCCGCTTTGATGCCCCCGAGTCTAACATCCGCGTTGCTTGGAAGCTGAAAAACGAAATCCCAAACTCTCACATCCTGGACCAGGTAGATGCAGTCCCTCCATGGACCCTCTGGTTTACCTGGTGCACTCCAGGTCTGCCTGTGTTTGGGGCCTTGCCCAAATCAGCAGCTCAGGCAGATTTCATCAGTGTGAAATCACCGTTTTATGGCACATGCAACTTCACTGCTCCTCCCTAATGCACAGGGTGGCAGAAACAAAGCAAAGCTCGTGTGCTCGTTCTGCCCAAGCTTGGGATTGGTGAGGTTGGCTTTTCTTGCATTTTTTAAAAGACTCCCTAGGTTGCTTTGGATATTAATGWCAACTTCAGAATCACTTTTTATGCCTGACTAGCAGCCCCAATTCTGTCTGAAAAAAAMCCAGCCTTATGCTGTACAAGACAAACCCTGACAATTCCCACCAGCAGTCCCCACAGGACTGGATTCTGCACAGGAGGCACCTCTCGCTGATCTGACTTGCCACAGGGAAGAATCCCTGCAGGGAGCAGGGAACCCCAACAGTGCAGAAAATTTAGGTAAGGAGTACATTTCCCTCCTGCTAACAAAGAGGAGGTTCAGCACATGAATGCACTTTTCAGAAGCATCCTGGTCTCTAGGTTTAAACATGGGACTGCACACRTTTCTGTGCTGTTCCTGTGCACCACTGCAAGGACTCCCTCTCTCAGTGTAGGATCACTTCTTTGGCTGACCTTTCCAAGACCCTAACCTGGAATCACTAGCAGTCAAGCACAAATGCCCCTCAATTGCAAGTCAGATTTCAAAATTACATTTTTTTTTAAGTTTTCTTAAGTATTAACTTAAGTTTTAAGTTAATATTTTTTAAAAAAGTTTTAAAATCTGATATATAGGAGATTGATTGATTTAAAAACTTTTTTAAAATACCGCATGACTGCATTTTGAGTTTTTTCTAGGCAATGATGAAGTCTAAGAATGTTTCATTCTAAGCAATAGCTGAAGTGTTGGGGAGCTTGCTTGCCTTTGGCAGCAGGAGCTTTAATAAAATCCCCAGGTCTCTCAAAACRCAGCAGTGCCGACTAGGAGACAGCCTCACCACCTCCAAGCCAAACAGCCACCAAGTGCCAGAGAGGGAATATTCCTGGGCATATTTACTCTTCTAGAGTAGACCTATGCTGTGTCCTTAGACACCTGGCCTGAAGTGACAACCAGGAGGAATATCTGTGACCTGCTGTGGCTGGATTACAGTGCAGCCATGCCCAGGAAAAGGAAGGGGGGAAGCTGTCTGCTCTGGGTGAAGCTCGTCAGGAGCTATTGCTAGTTTGGTATTTGACCTGTGCTTTACACAGTGACTTACACTCTTCTCTGTTGAAATAAACAGTACCGAAACCCAAGCAACCCCCTGGCTCATTACGACACCACAGCTGAAGAGATCCTGGAGCAGTGTGAAGGTACCGTGTACACTGTTGTTTCTATGTACTGAGGRTGCTGTAATTCTCTTTGAGAGGGTTATTTTACACTGTTTATTGATGTGAATGTCTAGAAACGCCCTGGAGGGCCCCTGTAAGTGAAGGCACCCTTGATAATACTGACACGCAGAGTGTAGCAACTTCACATAATCCACTCCAGATCCACCTAAGCCTGCAGGACTTCCCTATTATGGCCTCCAATTTCAAAAGCCTGAGGGAGGAGACCAGAGAGTTAACGAAATTAGGTTGTTTGTAGTGAAGGAGAAGCAGCCCATCTCTTGGCTGTTACAGCATCTCTGAGATCTGTCAGATGAGAGCACAAGATGTCTCAGGAGGCCTCGTGAGGAATATGACTCTACTGGGGCAGTGGCAGCCCTYATCTGATCCAGCACAGTCATTAGCCAATTAAAATGCATTGAAACTTAGCAGATTAATGATATGTGAGGTGAGGTGGGGTGGGGGGGGTGAGGGAAGTGGGGAGAGAGAGGGGAGGGTGAGGGAAGGGGGTGAGGGAAGTGGGGAGAGAGAGGGGAGGTGAGGGACTATCTCAGTCCATGTCTGAGCAGATAGAAGCAAAATTTATTGCCAGTGCTGGGAGCACTGCAGAGCATAAGCAGAGCTCAGGGGTTTTAGCTGGAGAGCAGTTGTGATAACAGCACAACAGTTGGGTAGCAACAGGAACAGGAGAGTTCCCGGCTTCCCCCTACCACAGCGTGCAGATCTGCTCCGATCATCAGCCAGCACTGGATTACCAGGCTCATGTCCCTACTGCAGTTGCAACACGAGGCTGTGAAGGCCTCACAGATTCTGCTTCCACTATTCCTACAGCAGCAAAGCATCCATGCMTGTGCAGAGGGGTTGGACTAGATGACCTCTGCAGGTCCCTTCCAACCTTAACCATTCTATGATTCTATGATCCCTGATGTCAGCMGTGCGACTCCTGGCAGACACCGGTRTCGGGCACCTCTCCTCTTGAGAGGGGCACCTCTCCTCTTGGGATGCTCGTGCTAGCTGGAAAGCTGTGCCTGCTGCTCCTCTGTGTTGTTGCTCACGCGCGTGCACTGCTCCGATGGGTGCYGTTTGGGAGGGCTGCAAGTGCCCTCATCCTCCCTCCCCCTGGAGCTGCCAGTGCCAAACCTGCAGAAGTCAYGGGAATCTAGAGGTCGCATTCAGCCCCATGCTGAGGCAGGGTGAGCTGTGTGCAGATCCTGCAGGGCCACCCGTGCCTCTCCGCAGGACTGTGCTTTTCCTCCGGCATGAATCCTGCCTGTCCTTCCCGCACACAGGGTGTGCATCTGTGCAGGGCCCTAGAGAAAGGGAGGCTGTTGGTCACGGCAGGGTTGGGGGTCATGCTCAATCTCTTTGGGGCTCTCTCTTCTCCRACCTGCAGGCAAGGTCCACATGGTGGTGATCGGATCGGGCACGGGAGGCACCGTCACTGGTGTTGCCAGGAAGCTGAAGGAGAAGTGCCCAGAGTGCAAAGTAAGTCAGGAGACGGGGCTGACCCAGGGGAACCGCGGCCGCCCTGTGTCCTCCTGACCGTGTCCTTGCTCAGAGCTCACCCGCAGCTCCTGGTGGCAGGGCTCAGCTGGCAGTTGTTGTCTCTACCGATTTGTTGGCTCACAGGGAGCTTGGCTTTTCTTGGAAACAACCTGGTGTTATGCCCAGCGTGAGCCAGATCCCTCAAGTGCCTCAGAGGTACAAGGCTCCATCTCTGCCCTTCCCTGTRCCCTGCACTCTCCAGGACACACTCAGATTTCCCTTGCGGAGTGGTTTGCCCAGCTGACTGCATTGTTGCTCCTGCTCCTGGCTGCCAAAAGTTACTGCTCTGGCAGCTTCATGGGGGGAGCAGACCGTGCAAATACCTCTTCTCTGCCTCTGTGAAAAACCTCCGTGCAGTTGGGTTATCACCACTCACAAACAGATGATGGTTCTGCAGAACTTGTGCTTCAGGACAGCTTTGAGGGTCACTGCCCCCCAGCATCACCACCCTGTCAGTATCCACACCCTCAGACACCAGAGGGGATGTCTGAAGGTGTGGATACAAGCAGGGGTGATGTGGGCATGAGCTAAGCTGGCTGCCTGCTTGAAGCTGTGTGTGCAGCAGTGCCACCACCCCCTTTTAAATCTGTGTGCTTATCCAGGCAACCTCTACACACACATAAAGCTACGAGCAACCACAAGAGGTGCCACTCTCAGCCAGCACAGGTAGGTCCAGGGAGGGAACCAGTCTGGAGCCAGGGTTTTCCATGGTGAAAGTGGAAGTGGGAGTGAGCTGACTGGATGGCTTTGCACTGAAGCAGGTTGAGGATCAATCACACCCTCTCTGCAAAGGGTTCAGCTTTCAAAGTAGCTGACTCTGCCAAAGAGGTGATGGCAAATAGGCTGATGGCATTTTAAGCTGTCACAGTCTCTTCTGCAGCAGCTGGACAACCACGTAGGATCTATTTCTAAAGGCAGAAACAGTATTTCTTTATCCTGGGAGTTTCCATGCTGCCAGTGGATAGGAATATTAATGAATATCAGGGGAAGAAAAATGTTGCTGATAAATGTTGCTGATAAGAGCGATTTTTCATTTGAGGTGTGTGTTTGATTCTATTTGAACTCTCTCTGTGATTAACAAGACTTCCTTCCCTCAAAGATCATCGGTGTCGACCCCGATGGCTCCATTGTCGCTCTGCCCAGTGAGCTGAACACGACAACCACCACAACCATAGAGGTGGAGGGCATCGGGCATGACTTTATCCCTACTGTCCTTGACAGATCAGTAAGTAGCTGCGTGATGAGGAGAGGCATCTGTCTTGTCTTTGGCTTTATACCCAAACTACTCCCMAATTGAGAAATATTCAGATTCGGTGCTTGACCTGGGACCTCAGCATCTCTCTCAGTAAATCTGGTCATAGCTGACCTAAAATGAGAAGCCAAATAAAGGGGCAGACAGGGAATATGCCAGAATATCAGACTTCTCAGCTCACTCTTGTTCTTCCAGACTTCAGAGCATGCCTCTGTTACCAGAAGTCTGCAGAAGCAATCTGTATTAAGGTTGCCATTCCTTACACTGGTGTTTCCTGAGGTTTCACTGGCCTTCACTGTATGCACCAAGCAGAAACTTTGCCCCTGAGCTGCAAGACAAGGTACAAACAGTGTAAGACAAAAGATCATAGTACTTGACAAGTTTCCTGTATCTATTACCACCATCTATGGTGCTTTAGAGTCATAACTCAAGCTGTATGTTCTCCCTAAGCCTTCCCCTTAGAAAACACTCCGCACAGCCTCAGATCCCAGATTATTTACATATTCAAGGAGTTGTGTTAATTACTTCTCTGCTTGTTGCATATGGCTTTTAACAGCTTTGACGTGTGTTCATCTCTAGACTYTTTTCATTGCTGGATCTGATTACAGCTTTTGCCTGCTAAAATCTTGACCGCTAACCTAACCTATCCCAAGCCAGCAGGAACACCATTCCCTCTTTCACACCCCATATCCGGACCTGTCTGATATCCCAGACTCTCTGAGGAAGGGATGTTGGCTGGACTGGCTGGAGCGAGTGCTTGCAACCAAGGACGTGCCTTCCAGACTAAGCAAGCTTTGACAAGCGTGTTTGTTTTCAAGCAGTATGGGAAGCAGTTTAAAGCAGCCAGATCTGGGAGGCATCAGCAGCTCAGCATGGATGAGAGGGTGGGCACAGCCTGGAATAACCCCTCCAGGAACCGACTGCCCTCTTTGCTTTCTCTTCAGGTGGTTGATCAGTGGTATAAATGCAACGACAGAGACTCGTTCCTCATGTCTCGCAGGCTGATTAGAGAGGAGGGATTATTGTGTGGTAAGCAACAATGACAGGGACTGCTTCTCTTAATGAGCTTTTTGCATCTCAGCCTTTAATTGTTTGGGGAGAAGAACAGCTTAAGGGCACACGCTCATTGCATTTGGTGCCTGCTAGGTTAACGGGGCCGGATGCAGAGCCAGCGTGGAGGTCACTGTAGATGTCAGGGGTGCTGCAGTGAGTCAGTGGTTTGCGATCTGACTCATGGCAATAATAATAAGAATAGAAGCAATAACTCTCTTCTTACTTTAGTACTTTTGCACATGGAACGGGATCTTCTGGGCCCAACTCTGTTTTGGTGTAGCATTACATGGACTGAGGAACAGGATTAATAGGATTCAGGGCAGGACAGGTGGACTAAAACTGTTGCTCCATTAACAGCTCTGTGAGGCTGTATTTTCTGTCTTTGAACTGTTGCCACCCTAGAGGTGCCAGGATTGAAGCAGGAAAGATTGGAAGTAAAGTAAGTGTAAGATATTCTTGCCGAGTATTTCTCCGCGTGCCAAAGAGCTGTCAGTGACCCCTGTGGCTCTGCAAAGTGAACAGGTGCTTTCAGACACCCCCTGCCCGTTCTGCCCTGAGGTCCTCTAGCCAGCATCAGCATTTCCAGCCTTTCCTCCCCCTAAGCAGGCAGCAGTAGGTTTATACCCAGCACCAGACAACAYGTAGGGTTGTAGCTGTGGCTCATCACCAGCCCACATACAGAAAGACTTTATTGGGGAAAAAAAAGTCAGAGCTGTTGGTAATGAACTGAAATATCAAAATTAAAGTGCCAGCCTGGCGTGGTACCTAGCTAAATAGCAGTACCTAGTTGTCTTCGCCTTCAAGGCGAAGGGCACCTTGATGGGGGCACTTCCATCCTTCTTATCTGTTACACAAGGAGCTTACACTTTAAAATGACAGTCCACGATTGATTAAATTATCAGAGATTTTAGTCATAAGTAATTAGCTATGCTTTTTATTTTTATGCATTATGCTTTTTATGCATTATGCTTTTTAATGCTTCTTTTCTACAGTTGCTAGAACATACTTGACCCAAAGTAAAATGCATTTTACCTTCCAAATATTTAATCTTTCTCCCCTTTTTTTTTTCCCTTTAAAAAAAACCAATCAATTATGATCCAAAACAAGGACTATTTTGAAACAGAAGGTCTAGATGAGATGTGGTTCAAGACAAAAACATTTATCTAAATGCTCCAGTGTTTTATATACTCACAAAGTCACTGCGTTTCAATGGAAACTAATTTGTGAATAGCTTCATGTTCCCAGACCTGCATTTTTCAGGCACTTTCACCATTTGTTTGAAAAATGTGACCCAGTACTACTTAACCTGCAGTAAACTACGTGCTGCCTTGAATGCAGTCTGTCACTGGCACACAGGTAGTGGAATGTGTTTGACTTTCAGTGCTTGAACTATCAGTGGAAGAATTGCCTCTGTAAAGCCGGGACCTGCTGTCCCTACGTGCAGCAAACCACATGCAGGCACACGGATGCAGAGGCACGTTACGTTTTCCCATGGCATTGGTCTGGTATTCCAAGCATGAATGTGATTTTTGTCTATTTCTTCCACCCTTGTGGTTTATTTAAAGTGAATCTGTCAGCCTGGAAGCTCTAGGTTTGACCTCCTTACTCAAGGAAAGGGGGCAGCATGGGCAGCAGTGCTATGAATGTGCCCGTGGCTACTCGTTTGAGTTTCTGGCCTGCTGGCTGTGCCGCCCAAAGAGTGCCAGCCATAAGGTGACTTTTCTTGCTCCCTCATGAGCCTGCTGTCCAGAGCCACATGGAGGTGCCCCTTGAGTCCCTCCCGGTCCCTTTTGGAGAGCTGCAGGAGGTGGCTCATGTGCTTTGCCTCCTGCTCCCAGCGCTGTGGGCTCTCCGGTCTCCAAGGGCGTCGCTTCTCCTGCAGCTTGGCGCCAGGGCTTCACCCCACGGCCCGGGCAGAGCGGGGCCCGCGTGGGGCTGCGAGCCGGCGCCCGGGCCACTTCTGACGTCTGTCTCTGTCTCCCGGCACGCGGGCAGGTGGCAGCTCAGGCAGCGCCATGGCGGTGGCCGTGCGGGCTGCCCGGGACCTCAAGGAAGGGCAGCGCTGCGTTGTCATCCTGCCCGACTCCGTCAGGAACTACATGTGAGTTTCTGCACGCGCCTGGGTGCAGCCCTGGCGAACTGCTGGAGAGCCAGCAGTACAAACCCCCGGAGCGAGCCTGCCTGGGAGCCCTCCCAGCACAGAGCTTACCTAAATCAACAACAACAACAAAAATTAAATACAGAGGGAATAGTATCCTTCAGTGGTAAGAGCCAGGGGCTGGGTGTTGGGACACTTGGGCTTCGTTTCTTCCTGTCACTGACTTACCACACAGAGTAAGAGTCAGTCAAGTGGCAGTTTTGGAAACCGCGTGCCTCCAGTTAGGCACGTAAATAGCTGGCGTGTTTCTAAGGGTTATTGAGCACCCRCAGCTCCTGCTGACCTTAAAAGGGGCTAGGAGCAGCCAGCTGCACAAACCATGGGAGCCCTGAGGCAGTGCTGAGGTCTAGAGCATGAGACACAGCTCAGCGTCCCACTGCGCACTTACTTACAAACGTCTTTGCTGATGATTTCTAGGTCCAAATTTTTGAATGATAAGTGGATGATTAAAAATGGATTCCTGAGTGATGTCCAGGAGCACAAGCCTTGGTAAGACAACTTTTGCCAATACAGACTGTACTAAGGGGACCAGTTTTCTGAATCTGGAAATGATTATCTTCAAGGGAAAGCATTATCTTCTAGTATTTGAGGAAGATTAGTCTGTAACGCTGTAATGTCGGCTCCTCTTTTTTTGTGTGGCTAAATATTCCTGTTCACTGATCAGAAAGCGTAAAGGAGTCATTTCTGTCCTGAAGATGTCTGTGTGCTCCCATGTGGCCATCATTTTCCAGTCGGTTTAAACTCTGCAGAGCAGAACAGTTGAGATATCCAGCACCACTCAAAATCTGCTCAGCTCCTTCTCGTACTCCACAGGGGAAGAGTCCCGTGAGGGCAGGGAATGCACCAAAATATTTGCTTGATGATGCCATTTTAACATGTGTCAGGATAATTATTTATTATTGTTTAGAAATTGATTGTTGCGTAGAAAGCACCTAGTCTCACCTTCAAGACAAGAGGTGCTGCCGATGTGACTTGCTCCTATGGGTTACCATAACCAAAGATTCTTGCAAGTTATTTTCTAAAAACAAACAAACAAACAAAAAAAAAACCCCAACTTTTCCAAGGCATCTTGTATCTGGTTAGAATAGATGTCTTATGTCTTGGCCCTTCCACTCTCTAGACGTGGCCCATGGCCCTACTTTGTCCCTGCAAGGGTGAAGGGCTGGGATGAATTGGAAGTTCCCTGTTGTCACCAGTGAGCGAGAGTAGCTTGTCCCTGAAAGGCCGTGTCAGCATCCCTGCTAGGCTCTCCGGGAGAAGCTGCACATTTAGCAACAAGAATGCAAACTGAAGAAGTAAAACTGGTGGCCTTCTGCTCTCGACCCAAAAGCTAAGCACTCTGTAGCTTCCGTGGATTAGGCAGAGCTCAGAACCTTGCTGACTTCTGGCCTTGGGAATTGTAAGGACACTGGGCCTAGGGAAAGCTCTGTTTAAACAAGACTTGGCCTTAGTGGGTTTATTGCATAACTTTTTTGTGGACTGTGTTGGTGTAGTTGGTCTGGTCTTTACTAACTTTTCTTCTCTGACAAGGCCCTCACTTATTAGTAACAGCTTGGTGCTGCTGTTTGCCTTTCAACAGGTGGTGGAACATCAAGGTGCAGAAACTGAATCTCTCAGCCCCTCTGATTCTTCTCCCAGAAGTCAGCTGTCAAAAGGCCATTGAAATCCTGCAGGAGAAGGGATATGACCAGGCTCCTGTTGTTGCTGAATCAGGGTATCTATTTTTACTTGTTACACAAATGGTCATTCAAAGGAGGAAAAGCAGACWAATTCTGCTAATTTGGTTAAATTCTCTTAATTTCTCTTTTTGAAATATCACCTGTCTCCTTGTGATACAAAGTAAAGGATAAGCACATGGGCCTGAATCCTGAGACACATGGGTCTTATGAATGCTGCAGCAGTGGCATGGGCTCTGTGTTCCATAAAGTTGCCAACCTAGACAGTCTAGACCCTCTATTTTCTGCTGACAGTAATAACAGGCATGGGCTATCAAGAAAACTCCCTGTAGATGAGCTAGTAAAAGTCAGAGGCACAACCAATGCCTAGCAGCCTCAGCAGAGCTGGATCAATGCACACACCAGCGGGATGCAGAGGAGAGGCAAGAGCCAGATGGGAAACATGCAGAGAAAAGGACCTGAGAGTCCATGAATCTCCTTTCTCCCAGCTGCCTGCGTCCCAGCTGGATGCAAGAGCTGATTTGAGCCATGGCTAAACTAGGAGCTTGGTGAAGGACAAGTGTCTTCTTGTCCCCCGTGCGATGCCAGTGGAGCAAGTGGAGCTGCAAGAATCCCTTGTGTGGGGATGGGGCCTCTCACTGTCTCAGTCCCTGTGCACTCCTGTGTCTCCAAGCAGCAGATCTCAGAGGCTGCTCTGCAGCCAGCCCTGCCCAGGCTCTGATGCTGACGTGAGAAATTTCTAGGCTGAAACCCCAGCCATGCTCATGTCATGCCCTGGGTTTGAGCTGTTTCCATCCAGAGGGTGGTACAGACCAGAGATGCCTGCACTGAGCTGACATCTGAGGGATGGAAAGGTGGAAGTCTGGAAGGACAGCAAGGGGGTTCGGGAGGAGAGCAGTGATTCATCAGTGAGAAGCCCTTCTAGGAAGTCACCAAGAGAGGGCACATGCCCCCTAAAGGTGCTGCTCTGATGCATTAAAGGCTTGTGCCTCTTGTTGCTGAAAGCAGCAGAGACTTAGCCTTGACTTAAAGGGAAGCAGTTCAGTCCCTGTGTGACACATGTGCTGCACCTCAGGCTTGGCCTTTTGAAAACACTTCTTGTTCCCTTGCAGGCTTATTTTGGGAATGGTGACACTCAGCAACATCCTCTCCTCCGTGCTGGCTGGTAACGCACAGTTCTCAGACCCCGTCACGAAGGTCATCTACGACCAGTTCTCAAAGGTACCACTGAGGTTGTTGTGGCTGTTACTGACTGGTGTCTAGGGAGGGGAAGGAAATATGCACCCCACCCTGGCGTGTGACAGGGGCTGGGAGAGCAGCTTAATGAACAGACAGAGGGGTAGGGACAGCAAGAAGTGGAGGGCAACCACCATAGAGGTGAGAATAAAAATAGGCTCCTGCAAAAGTGATGGCAAACATTTGTGGAGTGACACGGGAGGACACTGTAACATGAGACACAGGAGCTTTTTCTGGCAGGAGCAATGGCTCTCACCTTTCTCGACATTATCTGAGGACTTTGGCCAAATGGAGGATCGGTACCACGAGAGCCATCCCCAGGGCTCAGCMGAGCTGTGCAATAGGCAGAGGCTCTGAAGGATGCAGAGTAGGTCCTGGCTCCCATCCACGTGCTAGGGTGGTCAYCAGAGGCCCAGAGGCAAAGTGAGGTCAAAGGATGGTGTTTCAGAGGAGCTGCAGAGGTTACACCAGTGCAGGCCCATGGGTGGCCTTGGGGCTTGTGGGTGACAGTGCTGTATTCTGGATAAGGCCAAGCCAAGTTGCCTGCACCCCTTACCCTGTCTCACAAAGACAGTGCGGGCAAGAGAAGCGCCCCTGAACCTGGTCTCCAGGTCCAGCCATGCCCTAGCAGGGCTACACTTAGATATAGGAGTTGAGCTCCTCACTGGCGTGCTTTAAATGTAATGTCAAACGTCTCTTTTTGTCCTGTTTAGATCAGCCTGGATGACAGCCTTGGGAAGCTTTCCTGTATCCTGGAGAATGACCACTTCGCTATTGTTGTACATGAGCAGATGCAATGTAGGTATCTGTAAAGAGGGGAGGGACTGTAGGGACATTGCACTGATGTTCAGGGTGGCTGWGGAAACGTCTCAGATTGAGGTGGATGACAGGTATCAGCACAGCCTCAGTGCTTTGCAGGAGAGGTTTCTGCCCAGTGGCTCTGCAAAGCTCTGAAACTGCCAGCTATTCCCCCATTGCCTTTCCTGAAACTGCAGGGATGGGGGGAGAGGGAGAAGTCTCAACCTCAGGAGTGCAGGACCAGCACTYGACTTAGTGTATGTACTGCCAGAGCACTTCCCAGCTCTGGCCATGGGAGCTCTGTTGTCCCCAGTGCAGGGATGACATCGAAGCACACACGAGCTCAACCTCACCCGCTATGGAAACCTGATTTTGGGGATGAGAAGGTGTGCATTATGGGATTTCACTTAGTCTCCTTATCTGAGAACCAACGTGGACAGTAGGCAGCAGCTTGGAGCACAGCATGCTGCCTTTGCTATACAGCTGTAGCCTCAGGCATCCAATACCCATTTAGTCTCTTAATCTTGATTTCAAATTGCCTTGCTGATTGTGGGCAGCAGGGGAAATAAGTGGGAAGTTAGGGATCTCCGTAAAATTAGTAGCCCAAGGGCGAGATCCAGAAGAGCATTTGGGCACATTAGGTGCAGCTTAGGTGGAACTGAGGCACGTACGTGCCTAGCAGAACAAGCTGCAGAGCTTGCCCCACTCTGCTTAACAGCCTTCAGCTGAGCATGCCCAGGGGCCCTGCCGTCATCTCCAAACACCCTCCTTCCCACTTGCTGCCTCTGGGGATGCAGCCGTGGCCATGAGATGTCCCTTTGCCTCTGTCCCCTGAGGGGCACGGGCAAATCACTGTGCTAAAGAGCCTGACACAAGACGTGTTGTGGGACACATCCCAGGATATGGGGGGCAAGCTGAAGTTACACTAGTGCTGCCCTAGGAGCTGAGGTGCCCGAGGCCAGAGTCGGGGCACTGCACAGCCCTGTGCAAGCAGCTGGGCATGCATGTATATTCAGGCTGCTATCCAGGGATAACCTGCCAATCCAGGGGCACCACTGCACTAGTCCAATAGGGCACTGCACCAGTCACCCCTCACCCTGGGGAAGCAGATGGAGCTGGTGGAGCCCCGTGCAGCRGGGCCATGTCAGCAGGGAGGCTGCTGGTACACCTGAGTGTGTCAGCAGGAAGGCAGCAGGGATCACACCCGGCCAAAACAGGTATGGCTGCAGCTGCCTGTTCTGTAAATCTGGCCCGACACAGCCTTCCAGTGTAATTGCCCTGTAAAAGCTCCAGAGGCACAAACCGGGCCTTATCTCGAGGGAGGTGCTTTGCCTAAAACACCAGCAACACAGCAAAGCAATCGTAAAAGCCATGTTTAGAGTGACGTAAGAGCTGAAGGGTGAAATTAGGTGGATTTTATGGGAAATTGTGTTCCCTGGTGCACGGGTTACATCAGGTGCAACGTTGCCCTTCAGCGAGTGCCAGCAAAGGAGCCCCAGGGCTGCCTGCTGAACTGAGGGCCTCCAGGTCCCCCCGTCACAGGCATCCCAGCCCCTTCATTCTGTCCTGGTGACCTGGTGGCTCTTCCTCAAAAAGCAGGCTGGCAATCCTGCCATGTTCCCACAAAATGCTGCCACAGGACTAATGCAGAACATCCTTTGAGGCATATATCCAATTCCATCACACACATAGACAAAAAAGGCAAAATYGTAGATGGAGTGTTCTTTTTCACATATCTTGCCATAAAATAGTAACAACCCCCCCCCACATTTTTGTATAAATTAAATGCTATCCACCAAAAAAAATATCATCCATCTCTACCCAGGGCCTCCTGCTCTGCTTTTTAAGCAACTTTTTTTTTTCTTTTCTAGAGCTGCTGTTTTAAGGCAGCCACACTTGGCCCTTTATTTATTACTTTCTTCCCACACCTTCCCAGCTTGCATTTTATATCCTGCTTGGACYCTGGTGGCTAATTTTATTTTAATTTAAGAAGGCATTAATCAAAATGTTAGAGCAATTCTTGCAGTGTTACTTATTTTATTAGGGGTAGTGCGGGACATTATGAGAACAGAGTAGAAAGTGTCTCACTGCTGCTCTTAAAAAGTCTGATTATTTAGTCCTGAGAAGTTTTGTGGTGATAGAAGCAGAGCTGGAACAGAAGTTGGGTGAAAGCAACAGGGAAATTAAGATTCCTGCTCTGCTAAAGAATGCATTATTTGCAGCTAAACACATCCCTGATGTGATTCCAAGAACCTGACTCATGGTGCATYGGTCATTTTGGTTGAGATATAGCAGAGACGGCTCTTCTCCCACTTAATTTTTTCTCTTAGGAAATGAATAGCAGCCTCTGGATGCCTGGGGGTTGTTTCCACCACCCCTCTTTTTCTTTCTTTCTTTCTTTATGTCACTAAACCGGATTTTTCTGCATTTACAGTCAATGGCAACGGCAGCTCCTTCATGAAGCAGATGGTGTTTGGCGTGGTCACGGCCATGGACCTCCTCACCTTTGTGAGCAGAAGCGAGAAGCGGCGGAAAGGCAGCGTGGCCGCACAGGGCCCCGCGCCGCCCGCGGGCTCAGCTGCTCCTCCCCAGCCTGAAGGGAGTCACTGAGCACATCTCGTGCTCGAATCCAGCTGGTAGCTTCTCGGAGTGACTATGTTAAAAATTGTAATGTAATAGCCATTTGTCCACTAAATGCCGTCCGGAATAACACTAACGAGAAGATGACTAACAAAATTAKGTTTAATAGCAGTATGTGGTTACACAGAGCTACCCAGGACTGAAGGCAGTAACGTAGGGCGGGTGGAAGTGTGAGGGGAATCATTCTTATTGCTCAGATTTTATCAGAAACAGGTTTTCTTGTGTTTGTTGCCAGTAGCCAGCTGTAGAGCACCTGTGTTACCGGCTGCTGAGCGGGGGGAAAGGGAAGGGAGAACCTGATCTTGTTTTTGCTGTCAGAGTATTATGTTCAAAGAGATGATCATGAAGGTCAGAAGAGCTATTTTCCATGGCTGCAAAATCATGACTGAAATCCAATGTGAAACAAGTGATGTGGGAACACACCGAATCGCCTCTGAAACTCATTTGGGGGGAGTCACTTTCAAAACACGTCAAGAGCTTTGCTGTCTCTGCATGCATATGTCTCAGGAGATGCTCCAAGGGRAGAACAAGCAGGTCCAATTCTGGCTTGTTACTAAGTGGCTAGTCCATATTTTCAATCTGATTTAGTTTGTACAAGATTTTTATTAAATTATAGAATGCTCAACTATTTATATTTAGGAATAGTGTCTCTGCTGTCTTTTGTTTCCTGAGTTACTTAAACTATATCAGATCTTCTGCAAGTTTTCGCTTGAATAATAACCTTATTTGTCCAGATGAGTAGATACCTATTAGATCTACCTTCCATKGTATGTATTTTAGCAACTACATTGCAAATGGAAAAAAATGATCCTGTGTGTATGTTTCAAGTCTACAGGAGCAAGTCTCAAATGCCTCCCAGCCCCATAAAGTGCAGAACTGAAGGTGAATCTGGTCTGCTTTGAAACTCGGGGCAAGTTAGACCCTTCCTGACCCGCCACATGCACGTGGGCAGGCCTGGCTGCAGGAAGAGGGAGACTGATTGTCCGTGCCATGGCTAGGACCCCATCCCTCTTTGCAGATCTCCCTTCCCAGCTGGTGGAGAGTCCTGTCCTGGATCCCACCTGAGAGCTTCCCGGGAGCAGCAAGGAGAGCTCTGGGCTGCCATCACATGTGTCTGTGAACACCAATATGACAGAGGTTGGCCTAGCAGTGCTCAAGGCTGCAGGGGCAGCTCATCCTCGCAGTTTGTCCTCTCAGAAACTGCCTGTGATTATATAAAAGCTGCCGTGACATTTCATCTCCATGTGAGGAGGAACTTCTTTCTTGTGAGGGTGCCAGAGCCCTGGCACAGGCTGCCCAGGGAGGCTGTGGAGTCTCCGTCTCTGGAGATCTTCCCAACCTGCCTGGATGTCGCCCTGTGCCCCGTGCTCTGGGTGTCCCTGCTGGAGCAGGGGGTTGGACTGGATGATCTCTAGAGGTCCCTTCCAACCTCAACCACCCTGTGATTCTGKGATTCTGTGACTGTGGGTTTGAACAAAAATGAGCACAGGATTTGACAGTGGAAGAGACCGCAACGTTTACGCAGGAAAGTTTCTCCCTTTGGGATGAGGTTGGAAATGGAGCCGAGCTGGCGGTTCCCCATCTCCGCCTTGAAGGGGTTTCCATCCTGCCGCTCATTCTCCGTACCCCAAACCTCCCCCAGAGCAGCACCTCTCAGCAGCAAGTGGGGCCCTGCCAAGCCGTGTGGGAGCCGTGGGGCCTCCGTGGGGCTGCCAAGCCGTGTCTCAAGGGCAGCCCAAGGGGGCCCGGCACATGGGGTCGGTGCCCTGTGGCACCGCAATCAAAGACATGGGAGCAAAGGRACAGTGTGGGAGCACCAACATCGCCCGTGGGAAGGGAGAGAGGGCCGAGCTGGAGGGACGTCACACACAGTCACAGAAGAGTTGAGGGTTGAGGCTGGAAGGGACCTCTAGAGATCACCTAGTCCACCCCCCTGCTCCAGCAGGGACACCCAAATGCCGCGGGGACCCTTTGGAGGAGGYGGCTGTAGGGGCACCCTGGGCCGGAGTGCGCAACGCACCAGAGTGGAACGAGCCCGGGAGCCGGAGCTGCTACAGAGCGCTTCCTGCTGCCCCGATCCTGCCCGCGCTCCCATCCCACAGGCAGGCAGGGACCCGGAACCAGGACACAGCCTGGAGCCCAGGCAGAGGAACCACCGGCGCTGGSCTGGCAGCCTGCAGGGGTGCCAGACCTGGCAGCCTCCGGGGGCACCGGAGACGGGCGAGGGCAGAGGGCAGCAGAGCCGGCCTGGGGGCACCAACAGCACCGCCACCTCCCTGGGCCATGGTGGGAGGACATCCCTGCTCCTCACTCCTGCCTCAGCTTTAAATCCCTTTATCCGCCCAGAACAGACGAGACGGGACAGGACAGGACGGGATGGGACGGGACGGGACGGGACGGGAGGGCGGCCCCGCGGCTGCCAGGTGAGTCTGCAGCCCCAGGCACCAAACTGACGCCACCAGCCAGATAAACATCTCCCCGTCCGGCCCAGCCGCCCTCCGCGCCGCTCCCGCCTCCGCCGTCTCCCCCYTGCACCTCACCCTGGAGCTGTGGGCCAGCCGGGGTGTATAAATAGAGGCGGGACGCACGGACCCACACACGGACCCACGCACGGACAGGTGGGAGATGCTGCTGCAGCGCCCAGCGCGGGGCCCTGCACYGCCACGCACCAGGTAACGTGGGGCSCGCACGGAGCAGGGGCGCCTGGTGGGGACGGCGGTTGGGTTGTCCGGGGATAGGGAAAAACTGGCTCGGCAGMGCGGGAGCCAGGCTGCCGTTTCCCTCAGTGTTTGGCCTTTACTGAAGATGGGCTCCGTTGAGCCAATTGCTAGGCAAAACCTGAGTGCTGGGGTGTGGGAGTTTCGCTTTTGCAAAACACGTGTTTTCATGTCTTTACATGTTATGTGTAAAGCAAACGGGGGCTGCACAGCTGGGGAATGGCCAGGGGAAGCTCTGCATGGGGTTGCGAAAGGGAAACTCTGTAGGCAGGTCTGGCTATAGGCAGCCTTCAGGGAGCAGGTCTGGGCTCCGTGCAATCGGTACAGCCATCAGGCAGCTGGAAAGAGTGATCCAATAGTTGTCRTGGATTAAAATGTGTGAATGAAACAGCAAGCAGCAGGACCCTCTGCAGCAATGAGAAAGAAGCAGAGCGATAAGTAACTTGATCATGAGATGGCTCTCAAAACAGGAAGGATTTAAAGAATCTTACTTTGTGTGTTCTCCCTTGTCATATTACAGACACAAAGAATTCATGCTTTCAGCCTTTTTTTTTTCCTACACGCAATCATGCAATTTACTAATATTTTTGGCTACAAAGTGTTAGGAACAATGGCAGTTAGTCGCACATTTCTGAGTAGCGTATGCACTGAGTAGCCAGTGCATAGCATGAGATTACTGACCAGACTGATGCAGCTGAGACCACGGGTGGCATGGGGGTGATCAGAGAGCAATCYGGGCTGGAAGGACGCAGTGCCGGCCCAGCAAGACGTAGGGCGGGTCAGCCCAGCGGGGAGGATCTGCAGGTGCCGGCCACGCAGCACCAGCTGCCCACGGTCGGTGCCAGCCTAGACAGTCTCTCCCAGGAGAGCGGCATTGGCACGCGGCAGGCCTGGCTTAAATGGGGAGGCTGAAAAACTGGTGTAGGTGAAGAGAAATCTTGGAATTGCAGAAACATTGTATTTGGAAAAGACCTTGAAGATCATCCAGTCCAACCTTAAGTCCATCTCTGCCATGGCTGCTAAACCAGGTCCCTAAGCACCTCATCCACCCCAGCGCTGCCAGGGCTGGTGACTCCACCGCTTCCCTGGTCAGCCTGTTGCAGTGCTTGACCACTCTTTCCATGTAGACATTTTTCCTAATATCATCTAATGTTAACCTGCCCTGGCACATTTCCTTGAGGCCATTTCCTCTTTCCTGCTGGTAGTGGTGCCTGGGATCCTTTCCAAGGGAAGGCTTCACAGAGGGCACAGGGGCTGGGCTGCCCACGGAGCACGGGGCTGTTGGAAGGRGCGAGCAGGAAAGTGCCAGGCGGCCGCTGTCCCGCCGGGAGAGGAGGGCAGCAAGAGCAGCAAGGCGCAACCCGCAGCTGTGGCTGCCCCACAAGCTCCCGGAGGAGGAAACCGCGCGGCTCTTATCTCGGCGCCGCATTCCCAGCCTGAAGGCCTCCCAGGGGAAATTGGTCATTGAAAGTTAACTCCCTCGGTCAATACAGGGACAAAGAAGCGGCCTTCCYGGAGGGCACAGCGGGTGCCCAGGTGCCGGGGAGCCCCCAGCCCCCAGGGAAGGTTTGGGGGCAAGCGAAGCGATGCGGGGCGGCCGCGACCCTTTCCGTGTCCCCACAGGAGCATGTCGCCGGCGGCGCTGCTGGGCCTCTGCGTGGGCGCCCTGCTGCTGGGCGCCGCCGCCAAGCCGCTGGCGCCCGCCTGCCCCTGCCCCAGCCACCTGCAGAGCGACTGCGAGATGCAGGGCTTCGCCGAGGGGCCCGTGCCCGCCGGCGCCTCCTTCTACATCGACTTCGCCCGGCGCCTCTGCACCTGCGGCCCCGGCGGCAACATCACGTGCGCGTCGCGCTGCCCCGCCGTGCCGGCGGCCTGCGCCGCCGTGGGCAGCGCCGCGGCCGACGGCTGCCCCCAGTGCGTCTGCTACGACGAGGACGAGCTGCCCGTGGCGGCGGGCGCCGTCGCTGCCCGCGGCGGCCGCCTCTGCGCGTGCCCGCCGCAGGGCGGGCGGCTCCAGTGCCGCGACCAGCAGGAGGAGTAGGCCCCGCTTCCTCCGCCCTGTCCGGAGGCTTCCCGTGCCCCAGAGCATCCCTGCGGAGCCGCTCRAGGTGCTGCGGAGCGCCCCGCGGCAGGGATGGCGCTCCGCGCTGCAGCGGCGCRGCCTTCCGCCTCCTTCCCAAGCCAGGTGGTCTGTCCCCCGTAAGGCCGGCTCCAYGGCAGCTCCCCGCATTCATGGGAATGAAGCGAGTGCGG